AGAATTGAAATGTAAATGTGGAAAATTGATTAAAATAAAAATCTTTATCTACCTAATGTGGTTGTTCCTTGAAGTGCTGCGATATGACTTATATGCAGGCTTCCTCCTCCTCTCCTTCCTCGGGCCGCCATGGAGGAACGACAGGTAGGAAGGTATGACTGTAACCAGTACAGATTCATGTTACAGACTCAGATTCCTGTCATGTGCAGTTCATGGTGGCTGTTGTAGTGTGGGACAGTCCTCATGAAAGTGGCATGAATAGGCTGATTGTCTCTGTTGCCAAACCTTGTCATCAATTCAAGCAGGATAAGTCGTGGCGACTCCGGCAATAAATTGTCAACAATAGGATGCTGGAGAGTTGTTCTGTGACAGTGTTACACTTGGCTAATTTGAACATAGTGTGTAGGTGATCACTTTGTACAAGAGTGTCAACCTGGTGAAACAGCAGGCAATGGTAATAAGTTGTGCAGTATTATGCTGCCTCAAGAGTGTTACAATGTTCGGCATTGTCCTGCTGCCAGAACACACAACCAGGAAAGATGTCCCTCCTGTTTCGCACTCACATCAAATTTCCAGGAACAAACAAGATTTATGTTTTCTCGCATTTGTGATGCCACCAATTCATTCCCTTTCACTTACACCTCTAACGGAGGTTGAGTAACTCAAACGATCAAAAAGCGTTCTTCAGGGCTTCGTTGATCTTTTAGTCAATGAGCCCTACTGGTAGAGCTGGCCCAGTTGAAAGTTCGACAATCTGTGAACAGAACATTGTCTTGTCTTCTGAACGTCTTACGCTTTTGGGCCAAGACAGAAGGTAACTTTGGTGCCAGGTTGGTGGCAGGTATGGTTGACGGGACTACAGGTGTTGCTCAGCTTCATAGATCAAATCTCGAAAGAGATGATATTGTGTGTCAGTGAACGCTATTTTTCACTATTCCTGTTTGCAGCAAGTCCAATGCGCGTCCACGGGGGCTTTATGTTATGGTTATATATGGTAAACCAAGGAAGTTTTCAAGAGCAGCTGATAACTGGACGAGATCGTGACGCGTCTTGAATATATATGGAGATGCATTATTAATGTAAACTTCCTAAATTCATTCAGCATATAATGAGCATTGTTAAATTCGCCCTATGTTTATATTATTATATTGTGACAATAGAGTGAATACAAACATTTTAAAACCAAACTTGAATACACCTGAGCTGAAAATCTCTTTGGGGATTTGTCCTACATTAAAGAAAGACATATACGTATGTAATTTTGAAGTAGCCAAACATCCAACGGCATGCACTTCCACCTTACATATACTGGACAAAGTAAGTTAGGGATATTGGTGTTTTTATCCCCGCAACGCGTTTTGCGGGTATTAAATGGACTCCATTCGCGTCCGTCAGTCCGTCCGGGTCCGTCCGCGCATTTGTCTTTTTCCGGAGCAGAACTCTAAAACCGTTCACTATTCCTTCACCAAACTTGGGTACATACATGGATCTGGTGGTGTACTGGTGCCTTTTGGTAGTTTTGGAATTTGAATTAAATATTTTTGGCGTTTCCATGACAACAAGTTTGACTTAGGACTGAAATTGGTGGTAGTGCTCATTCTGGAGCAGAACTTCTCAAAACCTTCAATACTCCACTTTTCTATATACACACCCTAAATATTTGACATAATCATAACTCGTAGACATAATCATGAAGAGTATTTTGCCATTGCGGGGATATTGATGACTTTGTCTTCTTGTTATGATTGATATTGTATCGGTGAGTCGGATGAGGAAGACGGCGTAGACGCGTGATCCATCTCGTCCCAAACATATTATCGGGGAGAGATCCGGTGAATTTGCAGGCCAAGGCAGTAAGTCAACGTTGTGGTGTTGCAAGAAATCCATAGCAACCCTGCCGCATGTATGAGGGCGGGCGGCTGTCCTGTTGGAATGTTAACCCAGGGCCATGACGTTGAAGAAAAGGAATTGCCACAGGTCGAAGAATCTGATCCCGGTAGCCCGTTACACCAGTTAAGTTGCCCTGAACAATCACCAAAGGAGTTCTTTGGCGCTGTTATTCCACCCCGTCATCACGGACCCACCACCAAAGCGGTTCCTCTCCCAAGACACTGGCCTGAGCATAACGTTCTCCCACGCGTCTATAGGCATCGTTGACGTCCATCACTATGTGGGAAATGTTAAACCTGGACTCATCTGTAAAACAACATTTCTCCACCAAAACAAGGGTCTGGCGGACATGATTTCGGCGAGCTTGTCGATGACGTTGTGTCAGGATGAGGCCGTATGGCGGGACGTCGTGGTCTGATCCCGTGATGATGTAAAATCGTTGTCGGCGGAACTGTGTTGGGGTGCGTGGATACGGCGAAGTCCTGGATGGTTCGGGCAGTCATCACTGCAGTCTGAAACCTGTGGCGAAAGATGGGTCACCCCTTATCCATATGTCCTGTCTTGGCGTTGTTACGTGGACGTCCGGAACGGCAATACGATCGTAGACGTCGCATTTGTGTTCTGGTAGCGTCTCACCAGTGCAGAAATGGTGTTCCGGTGTCAGTGGAAATGTGCAGCCGCTTGTCGTTGAGATTCCCCATCGGACCATCCCAATGGCCTAATGACGTTGTTACCAGACGAGCCTTGGCATGCTATGCGTTTCAATAGCCGTTTAATTTTTGAACGATCGCAAAGGGCAGGGGTTGAGCTTTCCAAAGTGACAGTATTGTGTGGCATTCATTTGCTCTGTTTCTCTTCCCGGAATGCATCGTGCAACAACGTATTGCACGTCTCAAGGACGAACCCACTGCCGTCACAGAACGTGGCAGCACGTGCATGCATGTTGGATACATGTCACTAATCTCTGAGTTTAAATCCTTATGTGTCTACAGGGGCGGTGGGGTAGCCTAAAGTACTGTCGGAAATCTTAGAAAAATGCTTTTTAACCTTAATACTTTGATAAAGGTGATAAATGTACTATGTTGTCAATAGATCAACTCGCCTATAGTGTACCTAATTTTTGTTTCAATCGATTTAACATTCCCATGCATTTAAAGGGCAGTTTACAGGAGAGAATATGGTACCAAAACAACAACTTAGAATTTTTTCAGAGTTCAACAACAGAAATCTGAAATAGTCTTTACATTTATGCTAATAATACAGGTGGTGTAAAAATATGAATCAACGTTTTTCTTTAACAAATAAATGTTGAATGTTTGTGTTACTTTACTTAATTATCGTTTCTTTATTGAAGAAATATTAATATAAATGTTAAGTCTTGATAAATAAGTTTCCCGTCATGCATGCACATCTTTATCACAGCGTCCACTATGGCCAACTATTTGCATTCAATTGTTGCAAAGGTTTATAAGTTTTTTGTGCTTGAAAAAGACAGAGGTAAACCTTTCATTAGTTTAGAAATGGTTTATTACAGAACTTGTAGAGCTGTTGGTATGTCTTACCAACAAGTTTACAATATTGTAAACAAATCAGACAAGACAGGGACAGTCTCAAAAGCAAAACTGGGACGTTTGACAAGGGAGTACTTAGACGGACGGTCTACAAACCTTATGAGAAGAAGAATATATATATTCTAAAGAAGCTACACTAGTGACTTCGTTAAATATTTGGCCAATGTTCACAACTAGATTAAACTGACCGAATTACATCCATATTTTTGCAATGAAATATACTGTTGACATGCAAACATTTATTCAAACGTTGCACATTTCTACAATCCATCGATAAGATAAACACAAGTGATAGGATTCTTTCCAATGTACAGTAATTCGTATGTTTATTTCAAAACAAACACACATACACAAATGATCCCTTACATAACCAATACGTATACTATACGTACACATATTCAACATTTTGAAGAAAACATCTATTGAGATGGCCCCTCGCCAGGGCGTGTGCTCAGGTGTCAATTTCACCTGTCGATGCCGTGCATGCTGATGACGTAACACAGGCAGTTAATGTTTGTATCAAAAAACGTCCCACTACCCGTTATTTTCTAAGTTTTTGGTATTTTCATCAGTAAAAACACATTTTAGGGCATGTCTCAAAATTTATTCCCTCGGTCTACATTAGGTAGATGTTTCTTAAAGTGATATTTGTTATTTATGTAACTGAAATACCTCTAAATTTTAAATATAAGTCAAAGAGCATTTTTTTAGCATTTCCGACAGTACTTTAGTGGTTAAAGCGTTGGCTTGTCACGCCGAAGACCAGGGTTCGAATCCCCACATGGGTAAAATGTGTGAAGCCCATTTCTGGTGTCCCCCGCAGTGATGTTGCTGGAATATTGCTAAAAGCGGCGTAAAACCAAACTCAGTCAGTTATGTGTCTACACAGGTTTGATAAATTTAGATTTTAAATTTTTGTATGCACAGTTTCTTTATGTGCCTAGTATACATATATCAGTCATATATCCCTAACTAATTTTGTCCAGCATATAATAAGTTGACACTTGGGATAGATACCGATTTACCAGAGCTGTAGAAAGGGCCAGTTATATCTGCTTCGCACTACATGCCATCAGTGGGAATCGAGCTATCCACAGACCCCCTTTTGAAACTGGGGCGCATGCTCTCCCGTGCTGTGCCAAAGGACGAATTCCAATATGATGGGGACGGCGAACTCACTGTTCACTGATCATGCCATCGATCCACGCAAATAGGATACGAAAACCTGCACCAATCAAGTCAGCGAGCATGACCACCCGATTCTGTTAGTCGCTGTTAAGACGTAGAAAGCCAATTAGATTAGAAAATGTGCATACCGACAAACAGGCTAGTGTATGTGGAAATAAACGTACTGTCATTACAAAGTTGCAAATAGGAAACTATCATGGACGATGTTCATCATGTTGTCTGCACTTTGCTGAATAAAACACCCGGAGTTCTGATAATTCTGACGGCAAGAGCATGTGGAGTTATACATCAAAACGTTAAGTTATTTAGAACCTATTTGATAAACCTAATTCAGGAAGTAAATATCATATTCGATAATCGAAGTTTTAATGTATTACACCTGTACATAAGTTAAGCACCCTCGGTAATGTTGATAAACTTGTATGTCTCGGCTTACATCGGTGGTGTGCACGCACATTGCGTTGGTAAAGCTGCATGCTTTTCCGTAAGGTCTTGTCTTAACTACAAGAAACCCCCTCAAAAAGATGTTCTAATAATGGCTGCACAAACACAAATCATCTGTTTTGGGTCAAAATGACCAGGCAATATGGCGTGTATGTGATGAAACAAAAACGTTTATTTGTAACCTGGGAACGTTGTCCAATCAACATCTAGTGTACCCTCCAACATGCTTGGTTACCTGCCTGTTCTCTACTTTGCATACCCCTTGTCAGTCGTATTCGTTGCACCATTCTTGGTGCAAAGCTGCTTCCAACTCTGGCAGATTTTGAACAGGTGGTACACGTGCTTTTATCTTTCGCCGGATAATGTCCATGGCAGTGTCAAAGCGGATCTACAGGACTGCAGGCTTCAGGAGCAATGCCAAAGTGGATCTATAGTCTATTTGCTGTGAAAACGTACCGGTGAATGCCACTTTAAACCAAGACGTAAATGAAATACTTTGAAATTAAAATCCTCATAATTGTTTACCTTGCCAATTTAACAATTAAATCTCAGCATTTTATTCAACTTAAGATAAAAGTTGTTTAACAAACGATCATAGATTCAAATCGCTATTATTGGTTTGTATTACAAGGGGGTATGCACATTAAATGAAACACCGAGAACAAGTTGGGTTAACGTTCATCACGTACCGCACGTGTATTTGTTTCACTGTTCCAACTACTGCGCCTACCCCCTTGAAATACAGATCAATAATAACGATTTGAATCTGCGATCGTTTTTAAAACAACTTTTTATCTTAAGTTGAATAAAATGCTGAGATTTCGGTATTCAATTAACAGGATATCGAGGATTCGCAATCTTAATTTCGCTTTATTTCATTCACATTTTGTTTAAAAGTGAAAGTGAAACTTGACTGTAGGTTTCAGGGGCAATGTCCGTTCAAATTTATGGGTAACTACTTCTATTGTGTTACATTTAGCGACGTTTCTAAATTTGAAACGACTGGCACCAAGGTACCAACAACAGGTTTACGATAACACATAACACAGCTAATTGAGAAAGGCAAGAAGAATGACAAATATCAGGACTTCTAAATGCTTATCATGGCAGTGTCTGTACATCTGACTTGATTGCTTGTGTGCTGAATGCAATAAACCAGAAATTGTTCCCCACGAAGATGTATGCATGCTTAATGGTCCCCTTTCACTAACTTGGTCAACACAGATTTCCCGATAACTTCATCAAGTCCCCTTATTGTAACTAACTGAGGGAGGGGTAACATCACCATCCGTGACGACAGACTAACAACATGTGTTCAGTTCATATCGATACAATCGCACATCTACAGTATTGACCAGTGGACATTCAAATCAGCACTGAAAACAGATGAAGCTGCTTGTGTGTTATCTTTTCACACCACAAGTAACCAGCCCCCCAAACCCCACGAATTGATTGTTCAGGATAGATGTTGTCTTGAGGCAAAGCATAACATTACTCCCTCCTCAGCTTAGTATGCATCTATGAGATGCCCACACTTTTCTTCACCATGAAGAAGAAGTGATAGAAACACGGCTCTGACATGGCAGCTGTTTGTAGCTGGTATCTTCATGGTGGCTGCTCTGTATGTGATTGTTGACAAAGATGGGTGCAAGACGCCAGGACGTGCAGAAGTCTCTGGCAGTCACACTGTAAATAACAGGTGAGTTCAATTCTTGGATTCTTGGATTCTTGTTGATGGATGGATATTTCCATAATCTTCTTAATATTGGACGTTACCCTGGTCTGCGAATAAGAATGAAGTCCAGGTGTATTATGGCATGTTTTCTTATGACAGTTAGCCCTGGCACGCCTTTTCTTCACCATTAAACGAGCACGTGAAGAATTCGCAGATCGTTTAACCATAAGCAGCAGGGTGATTCTTCTCTTGGTACAAGAGGTAGCAATACAGTTCTGAGCCTGACTGGTGAACTGCGATGATCTATAATGTTTCAACATAATGCCCTCCGTGATCCTCACACATCTGCCAACAGTTCTAGATGGTCTTCGCCCAGACGAATTATACGGCTTCTTCTCTTGGTGTAAATAGTCATAATGATTTACGTAATGCTTACAAGTCAGTTCTCACTTCACGTTTGGGAAGCGGGAGAATGTTGGTGACGGCGCCAAATCTACTCCGCACTGATTTCGCAGCCATAGTGGAAGAGACTTGTGCAACACACTTGGGAATTGTCCAGGAAGTTTTAGGCTTCATATTCTCACGCAGTTGCCAAAGCATTATAGTTCACACTGATGATCCGACATTACGAAAGAATCCAAAACAAAACAAAGCAGGCTGAACAACAACATCAACAACAAACAACAGCAGGAGCAGCAACAAAAACGCCCCGTCTAGTTTTCTGAAGCAATTTGGTTTCATTTCTTACCTCCTTGTTTGGGACAAAAATTAGATGTATACAGAAAACACAAGAGTTCCTTCAGTTGTATAAAACATATCCATTATAATATGACGTCGTTCCGAATCTTCTTTCTTTTGCAACATTTAGTTACTTTGTTTCCTCAAAATCTGAAGTTATCCTAAAGCGTTCTCCTACCTGATTTTAATGAGACTGGCAGTCTCCATGGGTACTGTAGGCGATGAGATTCCAGCGATCTGTGTCTACCTGGCTGGAAGATTATAGCCTGCTAATACTGTTGTAATTCACATACTATCTGTCTTCCCTAGCGTACCAGGGGATTGCCTTCGTCTTGCTGAGTTGTGAAGTGTGTTAATTAACTGATTAGTAGGATTTAGTCAGTGCCCAGTTCTGATCCCTAGTATATTATCAGAGTATATTGTTTCTATGCCTCTGATGTTGTGTTGACCTTGAATGTACTTTCGTTCACGAATCCAGGAAGATACGAAGTGCCACGTACAAGAAGTATGACATTTCCTCCGACAAAGCAGTACGCCTGGAACGTATGTTGGATCAGATGATGAAATCTCACAGTCGACCTGATGATGATCATTACGGTTATAACCTAACTCGGAGTGACGAGATACCAGTCTCGCGAGATATCAAAGACGCAAGACCCAAAGTGTGCCTCTCTCGACAGGACGTTTAACTATTCGTCCTTTCCAACTGTATCCGTCATCTCCCCCTTTTACAACGAGGCTCTCACCCCTCTCGTGCGTCACGTGCATGCCCTGCTGACCCGGACCCCTCCGCACGTGCTGCTAGAGGTAATCCTGGTGGACGACATGAGTACATTCAGCTACCTGGGCCGGGATTTGCAGAACTACTTCGGTGTCCTTGATCCTAGAATTAAGCTGCTGCGTAACAAGCAGCGTGAAGGTCTGATACGGAGCCGGTTATTTGGGGCTGACGTTGCCCAGGGGGAGGTGCTGGTGTTCCTGGACGCCCACATGGAGGTGAACCACGGCTGGGTGGAGCCGCTACTGCAGCGTCTTGGTGAGGAGGAGCAGCTGGTTCTACAGTCGGAAATACCGCCAATACTGGTGGACACATTCGACGTTGACACTGGGCAGACGGTTGACCATAGAGGTGGATTTGGCTGGGATATGAGGTAAGAAGCAATGTACACATGCCGATTGTGTCGGAATGACTCGAGCTGTAACATAATGCATGTGAAATGTAAAGACCAATACATGACCTGTTCAGCAGTTGTGATTTATACTGATAACGCTAAGTTACATAATAATGGTATATATGAACTATATATGACACTTCTTTACCTTGCGGTAAAATGGCGTTTGGAAGGAATCCGAGGCGAACTGTTGAGAAAGAATACAATAGTCGTCTAGTAGCCGTGTGATACAATACAGTTGTATCTAGTAGCCGTGTGATACAATACAGTTGTATCTAGTAGCCGTGTGATACAATACAGTTGTATCTAGTAGCCGTGTGATACAATACAGTTGTATCTAGTAGCCGTGTGATACAATACAGTTGTATCTAGTAGCCGTGTGATACAATACAGTTGTATCTAGTAGCCGTGTGATACAATACAGTTAGGCATGCTGTATTACTTTGATATTAATTACATTTGATACGTTCTTCAGTCTTACACGTATCATGAAACAAACCCCTATTAATGCGTCATATTTAACATGCAGTTGCAGGCTGTTTCTTGTTGTACATTATTGTTTGGTTTCTTCCCTCGCAGTTACTTATGGTTCCCTCTGCCGCAATACCTGAGTCAATTCAGGAGAAGCGACTGCGACCCAATCCCATTTCCAGTCCTCCAAGGCGGTTCTATTGCCCTGAGAAAGTCCTACTTCGAGGACCTGGGACGCTTTGATTCCGGCCTCGCTATCTGGGGAGGAGAACACTTTGAGATGTCCTTCAACGTGTGGATGACTGGGGGACGAGTGGAGCTTATACCGTGCTCCAAAGTGGGGCATATATTCAAAGACACAAAGTTCAGTTTCGGTTCTTCAGAAAAGAATTACGTGGTAGCCAAAAACAACCTACGTGTCGCTGAAGTTTGGATGGACGAATACAAGCAGTTTACGAGGGCGGCCATGCGAGCCTGGCAGGATCCCGTACCTGAGTTCTCCGATGTTGAATGGAAGTCCATTGAGGAGAGACGGAGGTTGAGGTGGCAAAGGAAGAGCAAGAGTTTCTCCTGGTTCCTGAAGACCGTCCTCCCAGAACAACCTATTCCATCAGTAGACGATGTCAAGTATGGCGAGGTGGCCAGCTCCTTGACCAAACACTGTCTGTATGTCGCCGATACCGGACTCCTGAGCCTCACGACAACGTGTATGTCGTTTGTTGTCGTTGTTAAAGAGAACACTTTTTCTCTTGATAGGTGGGGTAGGTTTAAACACCGGGATAAATGTGTCGGCTTCCACGAAAACAGCTTTCTACTTACCCTCACTGACTGCCCTTGTGTGGAAGGATACCAAACCATGCCCCACTGGACAACGGACAGCGAAGGGGCGCTTATTTATAATGGTCAGCTGGGGTCTCTGTGCGCCACGCTGGTCCAAGCAAGGCCAGGGGTGGAGTCCGACTTGGTCCGACTGCAAGCATGTGTACCGAACATGGCCGAACAAAAATGGTCATTTATGTATCATTTCAAGTACTGATACTTGTATATCTAATGCCAGTGTATAATGTGTCTGTACAAGCCCATATTGTGATGTATGTAGGTGTTGGTTAAGTCCACGTTGTTCCTAGAACAGCGACCGAAGCAAACATGTAAGTGTGCCGTTTTCTCACTTCCAAATGGGTTTGTAAAGATTGACGCTAAAATTTGGCGCTATCATGTTTTAAAACCTATATCAAACTTGCTTAGATTTTAATAACGACGTATTAATTATGGAACACTCACCTGCAGTGCAACACTCAGTGCGTAAGATCTTGCTGATTTTAGCTGTAATTTATCTCTAACGAGATCGCAGATATATTGGATGCCCGTCTCCCCAAAACGATAGCGTGCTAGAACTTCCTCACTGCTCATGGATTCGAGGTGCTGAGTTCGTTGTCTGAAAACACACGTTTTTCCTTTTGCGACCTAAGCATTCAAACAATATGTTGGGAGCCTTGTCTGTTTTAATGACACTCTAATGTTACGCCAAAATTATATCAAGTTAATGAGTGAGTGAGTGAGCTATATGGTGGCAATCGAGTTAATGACCCGCTAATGACTGCACGATGTCATAGAAACGTTAGTAGAAATGAATTTAAATATACATTACTTAATGAAAGTTTGATAAAACGATAACGCTTGATTAAAGTTTGATACAACTGGATCCTGATGTTTATCATTATCACAACCAATTATTAGTTATATAGTATCATCTTCCCGGACGAGGTCGACATGGTGACTACTCTATAGAAAGTGTTGAATCCTTGTCCGATAATTTACACGCGTCTTGAAGTCTAAACACGTTTGAATCCGCATTTTTGTTTACGCTTGTATGGATGGGAAACGTTCTAGACTAAGCACCCTCATACAATATTAAGATACTCAAGTACATTCTGTTGCTAAATACGAATGTGTGATTAATCTCTTATATACTGTAACACAATGAATCACATTTCTTTTCTGACTTCAGCTTGATTTCATTTGTAATATGAGTAAATTCCCAAGTTAAAATGATCATTACAACAGATCTGCTTGAAAAAGGACGTGCCTTTTATTGACGCTCGATGTTGCGTGGTAACTGGGTAATGTCGCTATTAGCTATATTCCACTATTCTCATGAATGTTTACGTTCAAGACTGGGATGTACGTGTGATATTCACAGAAACATTGTGTCTAGTACGCACCAGGGCTTCATAGGCACACCATTCTTTCTGGCCACAGGATTATACGTTTCACTTTTCTCTTTTTCTTTGTGAAACCCGTTATTTTACACATGACCAACATAACTACATTTGTGATGTAACACGTTTTGGGGACAGTGTGGAGCGTCACAACTGTCAATACGAAATATGTCTGATAGTTATGACGGCCATATGTGACAAATTCATATTGGATGTGTGAACATACGGGAAAAGTTGGGTTGCGTTGAGTTGAGTTGGGCTTTACGTCACATCGGCATTATTCCAGCCATATAGTGACGAGATCAAGTCTGCATTCATCAACATTATAAATACCCAGTCGGAAGTCCTAGTTGTTGTTTTTTAAGGAGTCCTAGTTGGTTGTTTTAAGTGAGTCCTAGTTAATACAGAAAAGGGGTCGACAATTGTTGAGGAGTTTACGGGCTTCAATCCAATTGACTTGTGATATCGGAAGTGGGCATAGGCAAGAGACAACAAGATCTCACGTTTGAACGAAACGTTCGTTAAAAGCTTAGCTTCCATGACCTTTTGACGCCTAAGTTGTTCAGTTATTTCCTCAATGTTCACATTAAGTCAAGATTTTAAATGACTCCCTTGCTGTGGCTTTCGGGACACTGTCATTCACATGAATGTCACAAATGGACGTTGAGGCCAAAAACCTTCTTCAGCTGATCTGTTGGTTTGCAGTGAATCAGCAGGTCGCCTTTAAAAAAAAGTAATTTCACAAACTCAACAACCCCTATATACTTTTGAATGTCACGAGCCAAAAAGAGTGGACTCAATTGTTTAGGGTAAGTCTGAGATCAACTGGCGTAAATACAACTACAGTCTTGACTGGGATATCAACGAGACAGTCATTCTTAGACACGTCATGGTGTTTGCGGTTGTTGTTTTTATACCATTGTGATATATCTTTTAGCAAATTCTGCATCGGCAGATGTTTCCTCAAATGTATTCAGAATATCATTATCCCCATGCCCGTTAATATCACTATTCAGATCCTTGCCGATGCATCTCGCGTGGTCTGCCTGACCTTATGTCTGGTGTAGACATATCCATCAAGAAGAGAGTTTGAGGGCCCTCTGTGACATCAGATATTCCACTCCCAGCACTCCAGCCATATGGATAGCGAACACATATGTTGTTCACCATTTTATATATTTCTTGAGGGTGTTCAAGACAAACTCAGATTAGTCTATTGATACATTAATTAATTAATCCCTGTTTTGAAAAGAGGTTTAAAATACTCTAAACATCAACAGTGCAGTAATACAAAGTATTTATTTTGTTTACAAACACATACCAATTTCATATTACAAGATCAATTGATAGTAAAACCTAGTTGAGAAGAGAAGTCAGATTATCATTAAACGGCAACAAAGTTCTGGTATAAACACAATCAAACCTCTCAGTGACAAACCTGTTTTCTATTCGATAGTAACTGATAGTAAAACAATTTTGTTAAGAGAAGACATATTATCATTTAATCACAAAGTTCTGTTTACACACAATCAAACTTCTCAGAAAACGAACCTGTTTCAGGCTCACCCTACTCTACTCACTAGACAGTGGACTGTTCCATTATACCCGTAGGTGTTACCCTAATTAACCTTCTAGTTCAGTGTCTGTCTATTGGGAGATGATCGGAGAAGGTAGTCTGTTGTCTGGTTAAAAAGCACAGACTTGAGTGAACACACTGTCATAGATGAAGGCGTGTATGCTGTATGTGTGGGTGAAGACAGAGTGGGTGAAGACAGGGTGGGTGAAGACAGATTGGGTGAAGACAGGATGGGCGAAAACAGGATGGTGAAGACAGAGTGGGTGAAGACAGAGTGGGTGAAGACAGGGTGGGTGAAAACAGGATGGTGAAGACAGAGTGGGTGAAGACAGAGTGGGTGAGGACAGGGTGGGTGAAGGATGGGTGAAGACTGAGTGGCTGAAGACAGGGTTGGCTAAGGGTGGGTGAAGACAGAGTGGGTGAAGCCAGGGTGGGTGAAGACAGAGTGGGTGAAGACAGGGTGGTGAAGACAGAGTGGGTGAAGGGTGGGTGAAGACAGAGTGGGTGAAGACAGGGTGGGTGAAGGGTGGTTGAAGACAGAGTTGGTGAAGACAGGGTCGGTGAAGGGTGGCTGAAAAAAGATTGGGTGAAGACAGGATGGGTGAAAACAGAATGGTGAAGACAGGTTGGGTGAAAACAGGATGGTGAAGACAGAGTGGGTGAAGACAGAGTGGGTGAAGACAGGGTTGGTGAAGGATGGGTGAAGACTGAGTGGCTGAAGACAGGGTTGGTGAATAGGGTGAAGACAGAGTGGGTGAAGACAGGGTTGGTGAAGACAGGGTTGGTGAAAACAGGGTGAAGACAGAGTGGGTGAAGACAGAGTGGGTGAAGACAGAGCGGGTGAAGACAGAGTGGGTGAAAACAGGGTGGTGAAGACAGTGGGTGAAGGGTGGGTGAAGACAGAGTGGGTGATGACAGGGTGGGTGAAGACAGGGTGGGTGAAGGGTGATTGAAGACAGAGTTGGTGAAGACAGGGTGGGTGAAGACAGGGTGGGTGAAGGGTGGGTGAAGACAGAGTGGGTGAAGACAGGATGGGTGAAAACAGGATGTGAAGACAGAGTGGGTGAAAACAGGATGGTGAAGACAGAGTGGGTGAAGACAGAGTGGGTGAAGACAGGGTGGGTGAAGACAGGGTGGTGAAGACAGGTTGGGTGAAAACAGGATGGTGAAAACAGGGTGGTGAAGACAGGGTGGTGAAGACAGGTTGGGTGAAGGGTGGGTGAAGACTGAGTGCGTGAAGACAGGGTTGGGTGAAGGGTGGGTGAAGACAGAGTGGGTGAAAACAGGGTGGGTGAAGGGTGATTGAAGACAGAGTGGGTGAAGACAAGTTGGGTGAAGGATGGGTGAAGACTGAGTGGCTGAAGGCAGGTTGGGTGAAGGTTGGGTGAAGACAGAGTGGGTGAAGCCAGGGTGGGTGAAGGGTGGTTGAAGACAGAGTGGGTGAAGACAGGGTGGTGAAGACAGGGTGGGTGAAGACAGGGTGGTGAAGACAGGGTGGTGAAGACAGGGTGGGTGAAGACAGGGTGGTGAAGACAGGTTGGGTGAAGGGTGGGTGAAGACTGAGTGGGTGAAGACAGGGTTGGTAAAGGATGGGTGAAGACTGAGTGGCTGAAGACAGGGTTGGTGAAGGGTGGATGAAGACAGCGTGGGTGAAGACAGAGTGGGTGAAAACAGGATGGGTGAAGACAGCGTGGTGAAGACAGGGTGGGTGAAAACAAGGTGGTGAAGACAGGTTGGGTGAAAGGTGGATGAAGACAGGGTGGGTGAAGGGTGGGTGAAGACAGAGTGGGTGAGTGAGTGAGTGAGTGAGTTTAGTTTTACGCCGCACTCAGCAATATTCCAGCTATATGGCGGCGGTCTGTAAATAATCGAGTCTGGACCAGACAATCCAGTGATCAACAGCATGAGCATCGATCTGCACAATTGGGAACCGATGACATGTGTCAACCAAGTCAGCGAAACTGACCACCCGATCCCGTTAGTCGCATCTCACGACAAGATAGTCGCCTTTTTATGGCAAGCACATGGGTTGCTGAAGACCTATTCTACCCCGGATCTTCACGGGTCCAGAGTGGGTGAAGACAAGATGGGTGAAAACAGGATGGTGGAGACAGAGTGGGTGAAGACAGAGTGGGTGAAGACAGAGTGGGTGAAGGATGGGTGAAGACAGAGTGGCTGAAGACAGGGTGGGTGAAGACAGGGTGAAGACAGGATGGGTGAAGACAGGGTGGGTGAAGACAG